AGCCAAACCAGCTAAGGCTAAAAGGATTACTCTTAAGACATTAAGCTGTAGGACCCTGTTCCAGTACATATTCTGAATCAGTGGTACCCATTTGCTTATTTTTTTAATATTTTAAAATTGATTTTAGAGAGAAGAAGGGGGTCAGGAGAGGAAGAGAGGGGAGGGCAAAGGAGGGGAGGAGAGGAGGGAAGCAAAAGAGAAACATGGATCAGATGTCTTCCGAATGTGCCCTGAGAATGTGCCCTGACTGGGATTCAAACCCGCTACCTTTTGGTGTACAGGATGATGCTCCAACCAACCAACCAACTGATCTACACTGGCCAGGGCCCATTTGTTATTAGTAATTAAATGTTTAGAATATTTTCCTTAACTAAATGGAGTATATAAAGCACAGTGAAACACACACAGTTAAGTACACAGTTAGATGTCAGGATGTCTCCAAAATGATTTAACATGTATTTTGATCACTTCCTAGATCAATGGATTTAAGCAATAAGATTGTGTTTGATTCAAAAAAACTGTAAGGGTAGAATTGAGTAAGAACAATGGTTTCCAACTGTGGCAGGAACAAAAATGTGTTTTAAATGTTGATTCAATTTTCCTGAGTTTTTAATCCAGAATGAGAACAGCAGTAATAAACTATGCTTCCCCATGTGACCACCAGAAAACAAAACAAATCTGTTTTTCTCTATTCCTGCTTCTATCCAGGCTCCCCTCTCCTCCTTTAGGAGCTCTGAGTTCGTCAGTCTCTGAAATACAGCTTGCTCATGAAGTCACCTAAAGAAGCACTGGAATGATAGATTCATAGATAGATAGACAAATAAATATTAGCTGTCAAAAATTATCAGTGCACTTTTTTAACATAAATCTGCATGTATGTATGTATGTATGTATGTTTAAAGAGAAGAAGGAAGGGCGGGAGAGAGGATCCAACCCGCAACCTGGGCATGTGCCCTGACTGGGAACGGAACCTGCCACCTTTTGGTGCCTGGGACAACGCTATAACCACTGACCCGCACCGGCAAAGGCAGCAGTGTGTGTTCTTTTGTAAGGAATGTACAATCAGCATGCTTCCAAAATAAGAACTAAAAACCTGTTGTTGTTTTTTAAATGACCTTTATTCTTCATCAGGTTTCTAAGGACAGTCTGAATTCCCAGCCTGCTGCTGTGGCTCCTCCTCTGGGTCCCAAACATTTCCCAAAATTCAATAAAAAGGATTACTTTTTGTAATTTCTTTTTTCTTTTTAAATTGATTTCAGAGAGAAAGAGAGAGGGAGAGAGAGAAACATCAATGATGAGAGAGAATCACTGACTGGCTGTCTCTTGCATGTCCCTGCTGGGGATTGGGCCCGAAACCCAGGCATGTGCCCTACATGATAAAGGCCACAGGGCGTGTTAAATTTATCCATCTATTCCTGTATCTCACTGTAAATTTTTCAACACTGTTGTTTTAAGGAAATAATCATAATATACCATTTTTAAAAATTGTTATTTATTGATTTGAGAGAGAGAGAAAGGAGGGGGAGAAACATGGATTTGTTGTTCCACTTATTTATGAATTCATTGTTTGATTCTTGTATGTGCCCTGACTGGGGATCGAACCTGGTCATGTCAGGATGACGCTCTAAAAACTGAGCTACACGGCCAGGGCCATAATAATTATATTTTTAAAATATTTCAAATAGTCAAACATTCAACTATCCATGCTCTTTACAGTTTTCTAAAGTTCAAGTCACAAGGCAAAAATAAAACCTTCAAGAACTTCATTGCCACTCATTACACTAGTCCATGTTTTTATTAGGTGAATCATGTATCCATTGCACCAAGAAATAACCATCTAGTTATCTACACATAAAAAAACTGGTCAAGAATTTAATTTATGAAACTTTACAAAAATCCAACTTTCATACAAGCAGCTGAACCACTGAGCGGCAGCAACATTGGAGGGTGTTACTTAACAGGAAATGGCAGCAGCCTTAGGAAGAACCAGCTCATTACCGCACAGTCCCACGGGGTGCTGCAGTAACTAGTTATGCTCAGTTTGACTCAGCAATCAAGAAGGCTCTAGACCTGTGCAGACCAATAAAATTAAAATTCTGCTTCCCGGCCACATTTCAAGGCCTCGATAGCCACATGTGACTAACCTTGGGCTTTATACAGACTTTCTAACACAGAAAGACCAAAAACGATGCTGACAGTCCAAACTGCAATAAAAACTGCAATTCTGGATGGGGGAGGGGGTCTCCTAATTTTTTAATGCTAGCAATAAAAAATTTAAAGGATAATAATACAAGCACCCTATGGAGACCAGAGGAGACTGGGAGGACATGACAACTAAATGTGTCATGAATCTTGCATTGGATCCTAGAACAGAAAGACATTAATGGAAGAAATGGTGAAATCTAAATCAAGTCTGGAGTTCAGTTAGTACCACGGTCGGTTTCTTAGTTTTGACAAATGTACCACAGAAATGGAAGATGTCAATAATTGAAAAACTGGGTGAGGTGTATATGGGAAACTCTCTGTAATATCTTTTCAACTTTTCTGTAAATCATAAATTATCCCAAAATACAGAGTTTAGTAAACACCACCACCAACTGTGGGCCAAACCTGTCCCACAAGTTTCCAGCTGGTAATCTCTAATTCCCATGAACTCAAACCATAAGCACCACATAGGCATTACACATAGCACAAAGGTCAGCAACACACCTGCATGAACCGGAGCAAACATGACCAATTATGAAGGTAGCTGCTATCAAAGTAAGAATGAGTGAGTAAAAGAGCAGGCAAAACAACATAATGCATTCTGAGGCCTGACATTCTCAGGAGATTCAAATCTGCTCATATTTGATGTATGGATCTAAAAGGATGACTTAGATTTGGAAAGGATACAAACAATAGGTACTGAAAGGTTATGTTGGAGATACAAATATCCATGGGATATCCAGTCAAAAATCTAAGAGAGAACATAATCAAGTGCCCCAAAGTTAAGACATATCATCACGTCCTAAGAAATCAGAAAAGGAGGGACGAATGGCAGTCGGGGCGATCGACTGAAAGATAAGCTCCGAGCCGGCTAGAAAGGCTACAAGGCATCCTTGGCTGAGAAGGCTGCTCGGAAAAGTGTAAGGGAGTGATGGAAACAGGTTGGTTAGACCATGGGAAGTCAGATTAAAGAGGGCCTTGAGAGCCAACCAGAGGAGTCTGGTCTTCAAGCAAAGAGCAAGGGACAACTAAAGAGTGGTGTGAGGAAGTGGAATTTTAAGAAAATTTGCTCACATTCCTACTAAAGTAATGTGACAACCGTTCCTCCCAACATCATTCTACATCCCTGCAATGTTCTCAGACATCCAGGTTCAAGCCATGTATCACCTTCAATCCTTCTTCTGATCTCACCAGTTGTTTATGCCTCACAGCCCCTACTGCCAAGACGGCAGCTGAGATCTTTGTTACCCTTTCTATGCCTTCCCTACCGTCTCTGGTGCTGCTTTTATTGGTGACACTCAACTCTACTGACAAAGAGATGTTCCTAAAGCACAGCTTATAACCAGGACCTCTAAATGCAGAAACCTTTGCTGGCTCTCCCTGCAACCAGCATAAGCACTCGTCTGCCTACCTCCGGGCCTATATTCTGCCACTTCCCAACACCCCTATAATCACTCCCTAAATATTCCCTTGTCTTGCCCACCTGCCTCCTCTGCTCCGAGTGCCTTTCTGTTTCTCAGCTCCATCTTCCAGCCAACACTCTCCATACACAATGACTGAGAGCTTTAAAGATGGAACAAAAAACACCAACCATGTCACGCCTCTTAAACTCTTCAGTAGCTCCTAACTGCCCATAAAAGTCCCATCTTGGTACACACAGGATATGAAGCTCTCTTTTACCTGGCCCCTACCTATCTCTTCAGAGAAACCCTTCCAACCTGTCCACTTATCACTGGGTATTTAATGTTCTAGAAATTCCACCACTATGCATAACATCATATTGTTGCCTATCTCTTGCCTTCACCATGCTGATCCCTCTGCCTTTTCATTCTTATTTTTTGGACTGGCTCTTTCATCTTTTAAGAGTCATAACCTCAAGGTCTTCCTCAAGGAGGCCTTCCTTAATCCACTGTGTTAAGCTAATTATTACCCCTCTAGACTCCAGGACAATTCAACATTTTTACTTTAACCAAATCACATCACATTATACATCATGTTTGGGTATGCCCTTCTATTGCCACTTTCTCCAATAAAATATAAGCTACAACTATTTTTTGTTCACTCTTATACAATTGTACCTAATAAATGTTACGTTCACCAACACTGACCACAAATTAAAATAGGCAATACTGATTGTGTATCAACCAAATGCACATACTTTGGCTACAGCTCAGAGTAAAAATTCAGAATCTTTAGGCCTAATAAGTTCAGCATGAGAACCCTACACATTTCATTAGCAGGTAAGTCAATTCCTGGGAGGGTGAAGAATTCCTGATTTAGGATCTGAGAGGAAGTCAGTTCCTGTTACCTTACCTCCCTGAAGTCTTCTGCCTGCTATATACTGGTACAAATGACCATAAGGTTAGCAATCTCCTATCTTCAGTGATAATATAGAGTGGATATCAGGTCTGCCTACACGATGGAGTAGGGCACAATGTATACAGACAACAACAAGAAATAAAGCAAGGGACGAGGTGAGTCCTAGAGGTAGCCCCAGATAAGACTTCTGATGGAAGACAGAAGGAAAGGTCCCTGTGCTCACATGCTTAAACCAAGGAAGTTTGTTAGGAAGTGGTGTTCATCTTCAGAGGCAGCTGTAAAATAGGTCCTGAGGCAGTTTATTCTAAAAGTGTAATATCCATCACAATAAAGCACGAACCCCAAAGGATAACTCCAATGTGCTGCCTCTGAAGAAGTCTGCCCCCACCCCACTGATTCTTTCATTCCTGTCTCTCTCCCACCCTAGAGGTGAATAAAAATAAAATAAAAGAGAATAAAAATAGCTTTAAACGTACCTTTGATTTTTTGTTCAGTGGCCTAAAATAAAAACAAACAAATAAAAAACAATGTAAATATGAAACTGAAAGAAATGGATTGTTATGACAAAATGCTAATAGATTACTATTATATAAGACATATACACTTTTATAAGGAATTTGTCATTTAGGTGAAATACATTGGAAAAGATAGGCAAAGACAGCATGCTTTTCCCATAGATGTGCCCGATGGTCTCTGATACAATGTTTATTAATAAAATTTAAAAAAAATGTTTCTGTAGATGCAATGCAGAGAAGACACTGTATGACAATGTACAATAAAAAATGGGACTGCATTTATCACTTAATTTTAAATGATTTTTATATAATCATCACCTTTCCATTAATGCATCTAATGAGGTCTGCACATTTAAATGGCTTGAAAAATTGTTGTTTCAAATGATAAAAAATGAATTAAATTTTCTGTTGATTAGCATGATTTGCCCCTGTATCATCCTTCTGTCATACTATCTATATTTAGTAAAAAAAATTTAAAAAAAATGTTTCTGTAGATGCAATGCAGAGAAGACACTGTATGACAATGTACAATAAAAAATGGGACTGCATTTATCACTTAATTTTAAATGATTTTTATATAATCATCACCTTTCCATTAATGCATCTAATGAGGTCTGCACATTTAAATGGCTTGAAAAATTGTTGTTTCAAATGATAAAAAATGAATTAAATTTTCTGAAAGAAAAGCTGAAGATAACACTTTAGTCAATTTAGTAATAATTAGCCTGCTATTACAGTTACACATAGTTAACTTTTGAGTATTATCGATTGGGAAAAATTTTCAAATACATGTCACTTCTGACATATCTGACAATTCATTAAAATATCCATGTTCAGAAGGTAAACTCACAGGGACATGAGCCCTGCTTTCCACGCCTACCCTACCTCCACTGTCTGTGACACAACACGGAGAGGGGCTCTGGCACTGTACGGCTTCCTGACGGTGGCTCAAGAGAGAGAACTGATTATAGTCAGAGGCCACAGCAAAAATCAACTTTTTTTATTAAGACCAACTGTATGGGAGTCCTAAAAAATAAAAGACACAAGGATAGGCAGGGAAGTCAAGGAAAGACTGAACTGTAACTGATATCCAGAAATTATTTCTAAGTGAAACATTTCTTAACTGCCTGCCATGGGGCTTGATTTAATAATTCACATTTGCTTTGTCATATAAAATTATTGTTAACAAAAATACCAATTTTTAACCATACCATTATAAAGTTATATGGTAAAGAACTATATGGCAATTACCTTAATATTGAAGACACACCAAACATTATCTTTCTCCCCGGAGAGCCAGAATCAGTCCAGGTTTGACATGCTTTACCAAGTTTTAGAGCATTAGTGATATGTTAAATAATGGAGGCCCATCTTTTACTTTATATGGATCAAGTATTTTTGAAAAAATTGATGGAAAGACAATGGCAAAAGATGAGTCAATTAGCATGAACACTTAATTTATTTCTGGAGAAACTGTTTTAAAAATCTAGCAGTAGTAAAACAGTCTTATTAGAGAGAACTTGGTATATAAATATTTTGAAGTATAGAAGTGTCACATCAAACAATAACATACATAGTTTTCTAAAGCCAAAAAGTTAGCATAAAAATTATTTTACAAGTTGAAAATTTTTTTTTTTAACTCTCCCATCTCTTCCATAATTTACTTTCAAAGTTACAGTACATGGAACCATGACCACATTACTAAACTCCAAGATACAAAGTGCTGCTCTTCTAGACCTTACAACGTAAAGGACACCTAGTCTGCAACTCCTTTGGAAAAGCTCCATGTTGCTTCAGAACAGTGATCAATCTCATTCAGTTGCCTGTCATCTATAGAGAATGGCAACAAAGAGACACCTGAAGGTGTCTGCCCATCAGAACATGGATTAATATAGTGAAGAAATCTAAGTCATGGAATCCAAGCGCTCCTAACGGATGAGGAGAAGATGGAACTGATAGGGTTCCATTTTCGTAAAACAGATTTCTGTGAACTGATCCAGGACCTAGCATATCACTCAAACTATTTGAGTGTTTGTCTGCACTGTTTAAAATGGTAGCCACTATTCGGACGTGGCTGCTGACCACTGAAAAATAGCTAGTCCAAATTCATCTGTATAAAACACATAGCAGACTGCTATTATTTAGTATTAAAAAAGGAAACTATTTCAATATTTTATACTGATTAGATGTTAAAATAGTAGTATTTTAGTTATATCTTGGGTTACATAGAATATATTAAACCTAATTTCAAAAAAGGAGACAAATGTATTACTCGTAATATTTTAAGCAATAAAAAAAAGTTAAAAAACAACAAAACAAAACTAATTTCAACTGTTTCTTTTTGACTTGTAAATGACCTTGTCATTTAAACTTCCTCAGTCTCAGCTTCCTAATTCCTCAAATGTAAGGGGGGAAAAATCTGTACCGTTTGCCTTTCAGGGCTATCATGAGGCTTAAATAAAAAATACAAGCATCTTTAGTTGGAAAGTACACAACACTATTCAAACGTGAGGTGTTGCTATACGGATCTTCTTGCGTAACAGAATTAAAGAATTCTGAAAAGCCTAGCAGCAGAATGATTCCATTCTGAACACATTTTTCTTCCTGAAGCAAGAAAACAAACCAATAAACAAACAAACCTGAACTGTGATTCCACAAGTAATTATCACAACTGCCTCACTTAATGAATGAAGGCATTAGCCAGGGGGCAGACCAGCATGCTAGGTGTTTTCTTTCTGTTGGGCTTTGCACCACTTGTCCCAACTCATCCTTAAGCACACTCAGTGGTTAAGAGGTCAGAGCCTGAATTAGACCGCCTGGCTTTGAGTCCTGGCTCTACCACTTACACATTGTGACCTTGGTCAAAATTAGTTAACTTCTCTAAAGCTTGGTTTCCTCATCTATAAGACAAGAACAAAAACTCCTACGTAGTGTGGTAGGAGGGTAAAATGATTTAACTCATATACAGTGCTTAGCACAGTGTCTGGCATACAGAGAACATTCAAAAGATACAAGCAGCCACTGCTACCAGCCCCCGAGCTCAGTCCTTTCTCTCATATTTGCAAATAACCTGCTCCCAGTCTTGCTTTTTTCTCTCTTTCTAGTCATCTACAATGTCGTAACAATGCCAGGTATTAGAATAAGGAAGTAATAGTTCAATTCACCTGTTTTAAATGAGATAGTTAGTCATAAGGGAACTTTTCTATGATTTCTTAGCAAGTAGCACCCAGTCTAGAACCCAGGACTGCTGAACTAAAATAAGTCTAAAAAGAAAAAAAGGAAAAAGAATAGTCAGGTGCCGCTTAACAATGGGGATCCATTCTGAGAACTGCGTTGTGAGGTGCTATGGTTGTGTGATCACACAGGCACTTACAAACCTAGATGGTATAGCCTACTGCACGCCCAGGCTGTATGGTATAACCTACTGCACGCCTAGGCTGTATGGTATAACCTACTGCACGCCTAGGCTGTATGGTATAACCTACTGCTTTGCAGGAGACGAAAAGTAACTTTTCCTCTACCCTCTGGGCTCTTAACTGAGACATCTATAATAAATGACAAATTAATAGAAGGAAACCAAAATAGTTTAATAACGCATATACCTCCTGGATACATTGGAGAATATCCAGGAAAACTAGGTCTCACCAAAATAGCTGGACCCATCACCTTAAATAACATCTTCTGTAAACATGGAAGATGCTGGGGTTGGCAGGAGTCAGTGATGAAGGTTCCAGGAAAAGCACAGTAAACCAGGGTTAAGGTGGTTATGCAGTTTTGTCATTATCTTCTCCATTAATAAGAGTTTCTAGAGATAAGGTCATCCCCTCTTCCTGGTACAGGTAGGGAGACACCCTGGCAAATGGAGATTTCCCTTACAATGTAAATGTCTGTTACACAGGGTAACTTTATTTGGTTTTCAGAACTTCTCCCACATCTGCTGTTTCTTAAAATAAACCAGCCTAAAATAATTCTTATGCCAAAGAGACATATTTTGGGGTGACAAGTTCTATTCCCCCATAGCTTCTAGGCTATGAACCTACACCACATGCTACAATGGTATTTGTGTACTGCACTAATCTATAACCATGTCACTAGGAAATAGGAATTTTCAGCTCCGGTCTAATCTTATGGGACCACTGTTGTATATGCAGTCAGTCATTGACCCAAACATCGTTATGCGGCATCTGACTGTAGGAAGCTAAAATAAGGGGCAGAACCGTAAAGGGACACCCTAGATGAGTGCAATGATCCACCTAGCTTACTGAAGAACACAACAACCCTGCTACTTAGACTGCTGAATATGATGCCCAGTCTCAGAACAAAATGGTCTTTGGGAGACATGAAAAGTAAACACTAAAATTTCCAAAAGGGAATGAAGTCTCAATTAAATTCAAACAGAGCACATTTGAATCCACAAAGCCTATAAAAGTCCCTTCAGCTCTTAACACAGTAACAAAACTGTCTCAATTAAAATAAGATCCCAATTTGTATTGTTGCTTTCCTCCAGCCCTCAACAATTAAATGCTTTCTAGCAACTACAATTACAAACTTAAAGTAAAGGTTATACTAAATTATCCCCTCTATAATTAACCCATTTCTCAACCTCCTTACTGCATATTCAAGATTTCCTCTAGAAATTTCTCCTAAGAACAGAACCTGTGTATAAATGTATGGTAACAACTTATTGCTACAGTTGTTTCCCCCTTTTTAAGTACAGAAACTATATTTTCAATGCTATGCCAACTTATTTTCTAAATCTTAGAATCAGAAGATAAGTAAATAGCCATACTTCTTAGATGTGAAATAGGCTTTTGAAAAATAAAATTTTTTTAAACAAAGTTATCTCTATTCATAAAGATGTACTGGGGCTGAAACATAAAAAAATCATGTAATTTTTGTGTAATTTTTATTTAAGGAGGAATAATAGTCCCTTTCTATTTAAATAATAGACAAAATAAGAAAAACTATCATAATAAAAACATTATAGTGAGCCTCATTGGTGTGTGATTATTTATATAAGGAGTTGTGATATCTGGTTTTTTATTTAAAATAAAAATATAACCTGTGGTCTGAAGTTAATTTTCTTTAAAAGACTATAAAGCTTACTAGAAACTATGTTTTCTGTATCTATGGCATAAAGACCTTTTAAATGCCTTATAAAAATGACTATTATTTCCAGCTTTAAAGTTACCTTTAGATTGTGAAAATAAGGCAAATGTGTAAAAAGGTTCTGTATCAAAGCATAAAGCCATGGTACTGAGTTCTGGAAACGCACCAACTGAGGAAGTAGATTTCAACTGCATACCTATTTTCGTCACCCTGATGAAACCATGGTAGCCACTTAACTAATTTTAATGCCTGAGTTCCATATATATAATATATATATATACATACATACATACCTAATATAGTATCTGAAGTCTTTTTCAGAAATGAAATACAAAAAATTTTTTTTAAGTGTACACAGATTGCATGAAACAGGCAGACTGCCTTTCCTTTAGAGAATTCCAACATTTATATAATGGGCCTGCCTACCTGGCTTATGTAGATGTCTGTCACCTACCTGGATACACCTGCTTACTCTTACAACAGACAAGCTCGAGGAAACTTGTCCAGAAACTCCTATGACTCACAATCTTTCATATGGGCTTTAAGTGTACCCCCTTGAGGATTTTTTGTTTTGCTTTGTTTTTTCTATTTATTTGGTACCAGCCTATAGAAATACCAGCTGTCCTCACTTCACCAACAGGTTGTATTTAAATTCAGTTGTAAGCTGGTTATTTGGAATTTGAAGAACAGCCTCACTCTAGTGGCAGTCTAGCCTACTACACTTAACAGTAGAAGTCTTAGGCTTTCCTTTACATTGTGTTCATTGACTAGGTATTACTGTGTCTTTGGGACATACAGAATACCCTACCAATGCTGAAGGCCTGGCCAAAGAAGGAAACACTCCCCATATTAAGCCTCTGGTGATGGTTCTAGTAGGACCTGGTTGAGATGAGAGACTAGAACCATACAGTGAGGCAGGGATGAAAGCTATTACTTCAGATCTGGTGAAGCCAAATGGCACAAAAAACATCACTTATGTGTTAAAGACACAGGTGATTTAGAGACTGAATATGAAAAAACGTACATATTAACAACTAGAGCCATAATTTGTATGTTACAACGTAAAGATTATACTCATATTGCATATTTTACAAACAACCTTCAAAGCAATTCCAGTGAACCCTCCTTTTCTTAGAATTTCCTCACTGAAGCGAGTGAACAGAGGACTAAACATGCCTCGTTATAAAAATGCCTTAGGCCTCTTTTTTAAGCATTTCACATACATCCTGACTTACCAGCTAAATCTTAAGATTCCTTAGAAGCAGGGATCTCAGGTGCTTGCTAAACTAGTGATTCTACATCAATAAATAGATCTTCCTCAACAAATCTATTAAGTTTCTTATAAGTTCTTTTCACTAAGTAAATGGCCTTCACACCATCGAAGAGAGTCTGATAAATCTTCCCCAGTCTTACTACTTACGGAGGACACAACTTGTTCATAGCAAATCCTGAGCCAGGACTGATCAGATTGCAAAGACCATCCTATATCACAGGTCTCTGCAGAGGCCCATGGCATCACCAAATTCAAAGCCAAAACTCTGTAATACTAATGTAGGTCTTCATAAAAGCAAAGTGGTACAACATGAACTTTCAAAAAGCAGGGATACTTGAACTAGAAACCTATTCCAAACCCTAACTATGACAATAGTCACTCCTGAGAGCAACCAAAAGGCCAATGATAAGAGTCACCTATCGTCCCAATCTTAATCCTCCTCCATGGTCCTCTGTACTCCACCCTTCCCCGGTTAAAGTAAATCCTCACTTAAAGTCCTGGACAGGTTCTGGGAACTTCAGGGAAAGGAGTGAAGTGAAACCAATTCACCATAGGCTAACTGATATAAACAAGAGTTAAATTCCAACATCTTATCAACGTTGCTGGATGACCAGTTCTGTGTGTCTCCTAACATGGTCAACTGATCCCAAAATGTACTTACAGTCATTCAATCTGGAACCTAAGAGTCAATCTAGGTTCCTCGCCCTTCATATCCTTTCAAAAATTTCTGTGGATTTTTTTTTAATAGTCCCTTCACCAGCATCCTTGCTTCTAGTTTCGACCCTTTCCAATTCAATTCTACAATTTGCCAAGGTAAACTCAATGGTCCAAACCCCTTAAAGAGCTGATAGCTACCACCAACCCTCCCAACCCCTAAATGTCACCTGACATTTCTACCCTTAGCTCCCTCCCCATTAAAACCCAGTTTACTAGGAGACTGTGGACGCTTTCCTCTGAGGTTAGTCTGCGTGAAATCCTTTTGTATTCAGCTCCTTCTTTACTTGGCTAATTTCTATTCCAAAAAAATTTCCCTGACTCCTGCCCCATTTCAGGCCCAGTTAAGCCCTTCTCTCCATGCTTCAACAGTTCCCTATCTACCATATTTTTGTATCCTATGATTTTCCCTATTAAATAATGTAAAGATATGCCAGGCTGGTGTGGCTCAGTTGTTGAGTGTTGACCTATGAACCAGGAGGTCACAGTTCGATTCACAGCCAGGGCACATGTCCAGGTTATGGGCTTGATCCCCTATGGGGGGGGGGGGGGGGGGGGGGGGCGCGCGCGCGCGTGCAAGAGGCAGTTGATCGATCCATGATTCTCTCTCATCATTAATGTTTCTACTCTCTCTCCTGCTCTCCCTTCCTCTCTGAAATCAATAAAATATATTTTTAAATGTGGCGATATGTTGCCATTAGTATATATCCCATTCCTAGCACAGTGCCTGGCACAAGAGTTATGTATGTATCAACAAGTCATAATTTTTCATTAGAAGACAGAAATGGGACAGTAATTTCACTGGGTCTTTCAGAACATGTTAAGGCCCTGCAACCTTGATACAGTAAACGAGAGCCAGCTTAGTTAACTGTCATAAACCCATAGTATTAATTTGTAAAAAATTTTGTAATTATGAATATAATCTTTTATTTTTTGTAATTTGTATTGCTTTAACTAGCTTCTGATGATGTATTGGCTAGAGAGTTTTTGCAACAAATTATCTTAGATTTATTTAAAATATCCTAATATAATTTGCAAATTTTAAAGATCAGTCCAGGTACTAAACAAAAAGTAAAAAAGAAATTGAACTTTATTTCCTATTATGTGCATTAATGTTTCCCTCATTACTATATTCATGTATTATTTTATTTTCAATTGTGTATTACTATGTGTATGTATTACATTATCTCATTTAACTTAATTCTCATTTTACAAAATGTAAAAAAACTTTTGAGGCCCAGAGAGGCTAAATAAAGTTTAAGGCCATATTGTCCTGCATGCTATATGGGAGAGCTAGCTTTCAAAACCCCTCTATGCAGCTACCAATTCCATGCTCTTCTCACTTACAAAATGATGGACTATGAAAACCTAGCAACAGCTAACAGGAAGATAAAGACCTATACAAAGCACTTACCTTTGAAAAAACTATTGGCAAGATTAAATGACTGTATGTTAAATTGTATGCATTTGGCAAGTTACTATACGTGCATAGTCAAAGACATGAAAGCTTAAAATGAAACTCCACTGAAGTTAAAACATTAAATCAAATGCTTTAAAAATTCAATAAGAATAATTTTATTTTTAAATTTATGTTTAAACTGCTTAATATAAAGTTTATACATATACTACCTTCTTTTGAGCAGCTTCCTTCTTTTTCTTGTCGTCTTTTTTCTTTTTCTTTTCTTCCATCAACTGTTCTTCTTCTTGCACTAAATCCCTGAACCATACAGTTGCAATTAACTTTCCCAAAATGTATTAAGAAATAAAAATAATGTTGCATACAGATTCATTTTAACTCTATTAGAAGTACAGACATGGCAAATT